AGTTTGGTTATTTCAGTTATGGTAACGCAGAGAACTTAGGTTGCAAATATTATTACCGGTATTGGATCGCTGTTCCTGAGGACAATTACTCTAATTTTTGTTTCCTGAAAGGATCGCTGTTCCTGAGGACAATTGCTCTAATTTTTGTTTGCTGAAATCGGAAGATTCTCCACTGAACTTTTGGAATAGTATGGCAGATCCAGAGCTGCAGTTCAATATCAGAGCTGTGTTACACTGCGTATTGCACAAAGAAGGATTGCCTCATGAAAAATCTGAAGCAAGACAAAGGGGGAAGCGGGCAGAGGAGGCTGTAGGATCACTGGTTGGGACTTACCTTTATCAGCAGTGTCCTAAAATAACTGAGAAATTGACTTAATATTTAGCACTTCTCTGACTTGTATGAACTGGTATTTGTATTGAGCAATGGTTTGCTTCCAGAATCACAGCTTTATGTGATTAATTGAAGTGGATGTAGAGACAGACCATCTCTCCCACCAGCTGAAAGTGTTTTAGTTTTCAAATGTGAGCTTCCACATAACTTGTCATTTTCAGAATTAACATAGTTTTTGAAGATGCATGGAGGTTTTTTGAACTGCTTTTCTTGTAGTATCATTTAGTACTTAACGTCTAGTATAGATAGCCTTCCTGTGTGATTCAGAAAAATCCTTTATATAGAGGTTAAACTTGTAGATTGATCATGCAAAATGCTCATTTTTTTCATTAAGAGAACGTTAGTAGTCTTGACTAAACCTGTTAGTTTTGTTTTATCAATTTTTGTGATTGTAAATACAGTGAGGTTAGATGTGAGAAGAAAGGAGATTCAGCATGTTGCTTGCCAGCAAACATAGTGATGTTAGCTTCGTTATATTATAGTCTCCTCCTTTGAAACAACTTTTTGATAAATCCCAGAGATGGGCGAGACAAGTTTTGTAAAACCTGATTATGATTGGGATGCCTTCCTTCATGTCAGGTGTTTGTATAAACGAGATTGAATCGTTAACTGTTATTCTTAGTGAGTATTACAGTTAGTGTTAGAGTGTTACAGAAGTTTTGTTTTAAAGTTTTAGCACTCATTAAACATTATATTTTTAGGCTGTAAGCAAATGCTTGAGAACGTAAGTATTCTTCTACAGCATCCATGCCTTTGTTGTGGAGCTGGAGTTCATTTTTCAAGGACATAATTATCTTAGGTCATATAACCTAGCTTTAAACTCATAGCCTGGTAGTTTTGCTGCAGAACTATTATATTTGTTTTTAAATCTCTTCTACCCCTACTCCTCTTCCAATCTTGAAGCTGTCAATTAAAACAATAACTTAGCTGCTCATTGTATTATGAGTTCACTGCAAAATTTTGTTTTTGTGAGAATCTGTTGTCAGAACTTAACATCGTATGATACCCTATCTTCTGCAAATGAAACTAATTAAAATTAGCTGAAAATAACAGAGGAACTATCTGGTACTGCAAGAAACCAAAATTCCGATTTTAGTATGTATAATCATGATAGCACTTGTTTATTCTCCTTGATTTGGTAAGAATACACTTTTTTTAAACCTTGCAGTATAACCTGATAATCTGATCAAATATACACAAGTCATATTATTGGCTTTTGAGGATTTGACACAAAAGTAAGATTTCAGTCATCTTTTCTA